CTCTCTCTCTCTCTCTCTCTCTCTCTGAAATCGCAGTTATAACATATTTCATAGACCAAACCTTATTATAACCTTTCATTATGTACTTTTATTGCCCTCCAGTTGACGGCGGATGGTGCACGTACAGTGATTGGAGTGATTGCTCAGTAACGTGTGAAAATGGTACAAAGACACGCTCTAGGGAGTGCAAGTGTCCTGAACCCGCCTACGGTGGCGCCACCTGTGTGGGTGCGACAACCGAGACACAGTATTGTAGTGGCCTCTGTTGCCCAGGTGAAGATATGCATCTCTCTCTCTCTCTCTCTCTCTCTCTCTCTCTCTCTCTATATATATATATATATATATATATATATATATATATATTAAATGTTTTATAGACATAGCCTAAAGCCTGTACACCATTAGAGCTCGGACTTTAATATAGTCATGTCAGACGACGTGTGATGCAAGAGATCAGGTTGTAACTTCACAACAATGTACATGACGTAAACAATGCAGATATATTAAGGTGTGAATATTACAACATGTGAAGTTTCGACGCAGGGCCCGTTTTGGTTTTTATCCATATCACCCCCAAAAGAATCTACTCATTTGTTCTTTGGTCCATATGTTACCTATCCTGCAAACATCATCAAGGTTCGTGCAAAAAGTTTTGCGTTATGTTTCGAACAAACAAACTTACGTCATCATAAACAAGTGATAAGCCAATATTCGGAACATATCAATAGGAACATTATATCCTTTTGAGGGCGGCGATGACATTTTAATACTTATGTTCCAGTGGATGGTTATCTGAGCGATTGGTTACCGTGGTCTTCTTGTTCTGCTACCTGTGGACTGCCAGGAACAGTGACTCGGTCACGTACCAAGGAGTGTATATATCCCGACCCAGATTGTCCTGGTGATGACTGTGGCCAACTTCCGGAAGAATATGAAAACTGCACCCAAAAGCCGTGTTGTACAACAAGTGGTGGATCACCGGGTTCATTCCAACACGACAGAGGTTAGTATCCTCATGTAACTTTCGGATATAACATGACAAAAAAGCTTGTCTAATAACGGATTCTGTTGCAGGCCCATGTATGACTGCACACTTTTGATTCACATCCCCGTATTTTTTCTTTGTTATTACCGTTTGCAGTAACATTTGACAGACAGTTTTAAAAAAAAGCATTACTTAAATCCGGGTTTACATATCACAATTTCCTCTACAATGCCCATAGTATATACGTATTTTTTCTTTGTTATTACCGTTTGCAGTAACATTTGACAGACAGTTGTTAACTCAATTACAGGATTGATTCAAAATTTTTAAAAAAAGCATTTTTTTAATCCGGGTTTACATATCACACTTCCCTATACAATACCCATAGTATATACGTAATTACCTCCAGGGCTTTAAATCCCTAGGAATGTGTCATTTAGACCACTTTTTATTTTGCTATAATAAGGTGTAAAGCTCTATGTGCTGGCATGTTCTATTTCAAAACCGTACATGATGCATGATTTTAAGGTGATCCCTTCTTCCCTTTGTTGTTATTTCTAGGAAATAGGCTTCACGGTCTTCGGGTGAATTTCCGGGGAGCTAATACAAATGACAAGTATGTCACCTTTAGATGTGGGATTGTATTGATTGAAAGTATCCAAAACTATGGTAAGTCGAGATTGTTTTGTTTTATATCTCTTTTTTCCTATATATTGGTATTCCGTTTATGATATCGAATAAATGAGTATACAGACTTGAAGCAAAATAAAAATATCACATAATTTTTTTTATTTAGATCCTTACTCGAAAAGCACGTAGAGAGCCGGCCTCCGCCAAATTGATGAATTTTGGCACTTGGTAGCACACCCATTCCCCGAGTTAAGATAGCTCTCTTGAATATTTTGGGTCAAGGTCAACAGTCACTGTCTCACAATGGAATAAGTCCTAACAGTCTCGTGAATTATATTAAAAAAAAAGATATGGCTGTAAACCTTGGATCCATATGGAAACCCGAATCACCATCAAAACCCAATCGCATTTCTAACACATTTTTAAAATTTCATCAAAATCAGTCCATACGACAGATATTCAAAATATATGTCTTAGCTTCAAAAACGACCATACAGAAGAAATTGTTTAAATTATCTTTTTTCTAATGGAAATATTCCAGATGAGACCTATGTTGCTGACGTGCAGGCTGCCGTGACCGACGTATGTACCGAACAATCACGTCGGGTTTGTCAAGTGACAATCCCTGCTCCTCCCGGCTGCCCTTGCCAAGTGATGATAAAATACATGTGTTGCAATACCTTGTATTAAATGGTAAGTGTTTATGGAAATAGAGGGACTCTTAGAGACAAAACGATCAATAAAACTAACGATTATGAATTCGACGCTTCATTGAATCTTGTACTTCACAAATTTGCATTTTTACAAATAGTTTAGTATATCTCTTGGAACCTGATATATTACATTTGGAATCCAAGCTTAAGTATTTATCAAATGTCTTTCTTTATATTTACAGAGATACGCCAGGACTTCAAAAATGCTGGACAAAACGGACTTATGCAGACATTTCTCGACTGCATTTAAATATGCAGTTGTATATTATTCCCACTGATTATTAGTTAGCAGATTGAAAATAACAAAAAAATTATAAAACATGGGGAAAAAACTGTTGCAGCTTGCTTATTTACCAATTTCCTAAAACATCATTTACTTCTCAAATTAACTTAAAACTTTAATTTACCTTGCTTGTGTTAAAGGTCATTGCGTACTCATTTTAGTTTCCTTTATGTAATTTAATAATATTATAATGGGGTGAAATATTATAATATTTATATATATTTATTAGTTTTAATATGTAAATACTAATGGGAAACATTTAATTTGCTAGGAAGGCCTGATGTCGTTTCAGTATGCCTTAAATCATTGTTTTTTTTTCCTAATTCCAATAATACAAGGGGGTTGGTTAATTAATTTAATGATAAGTAAGCCTGCTAGATTCCAGAGGCACCATTTCGGTTATTTAATATTTTAGTTAATTGATCCGTCTCATTAGATCTTCAGATTACATTTACACACTTTAATATTCGTATGCACTCATTTGTCGTGATAAGGGAGTGGTTAGCTGTCTTGTAAACAAGTCATTCTACGTCATGCAAATAAAACTGTCGCAAATGCTTCTGTTTGGTTGTTTTCCATACCTTATTGCTAACTGTATGTTTGGCAAGCTGATAGTTATATTATACCTTCATCAGTTTTAAAAGTAATTGATTTTCACCTACTCTTGGACCGGTGCTCGACACGAACCTGTGCTTACATTTGACGATTTGTGCCTTTTCTATCCAAATAACTCAAGTTATAAACGAAAAAAGTTCTATGCAGTCCGCCATAGAAAACCCAGATCAGGCACCTGGGTTTCGTTGAATTCAAAATAAAATGTCTGTAAGAATCAAATATGGTGAGACAGGGACGTATATTAGATTTCCATCCTCTGATGTAAAGTGACAGACATTGGTCCAAAACTAGCATTATTTCCTTGCAAACTGATTGGCCAAGAGCGAAACTTGATATCTGGCCAAGTAAAACCGTAAATATTAGAAATATTGAAATCTGCCATTTCCGTAGCCCTAATCCTTTATTCTTATCTAACTGTAAAAGTACCATAGTATAGTATAGTATAGTATTTCTGTACGGGCCAGGGTGAAAAAGACTGAATTCATTAATGTCCATGAGTTAGCCACGGAAACGCGTGTACAACAGCCT